TTTCAAAAGCTTAAGACTCTCTTGACCACCGTAACTCTCTTAACCACCGCACCCATCCTAGCATTACCGGTTGAAGGTAAATATTTTATTATCTATTGTGATGCTTCACATTTTTGTTTGGGTGCTGTGTTGATGCAGGATAAGAATGTTATAACTTATGCATTGCGCCAATTGAAGGTGCATGAGAGGAATTACCCAACACATGATTTGAAGTTGGCAGTGGTAGTGTTTGCTCTTAAGATCTGGCGACATTATTTGTATGGTGTTAAGTGTGAGGTATTTATTGATCATCGTAGTTTGCATCATGTGTTTACTCAAAATGATTTAAATTTTAGACAGTGAAAGTGGATGGAGTTACTTAAAGATTATGATGTCACCATTCAATACCATCCGGGTAAGGCTAACGTAGTGATATACGCTTTGAGTCTAAGAGCGGTGAGTATGGTTAGTTTAGCTTGCTTAAGTGTAGCCAAGCGACCTTTGGCTAAGGAAATTCAGACTTTTGAGTTTAAATTCATGCAATTGGGTATCTCAGATAGGGGTGTTAACTAGCATTGAAACAAGAGTCATGTTCATTGAAGAGATAAAGGCCAACCAATTTAAGGATGAAAATTTGAATGAACTTAAGAAGAAGAATGTGATTGGTAAGGCACAAGAGACCACTCTTGATACAGAAGGTGTGCTCAGTTTTAGAGGAAAAATTTGTGTTCCTAGAGTTGATGACTTGATTCAAAAATTGTTGATAGAGTCCCATGGTTCGCGATATTCTATTCATCCGAGTGTGACCAAGATGTATCGAGATTTGAAACAAATTTATTGGTGGCTAGACATGAAGTGGATATAGCGGAAATTGTGGCTAAGTGTCAAAATTGCCAACAAGTGAAGTATGAACATCAACGGCCTGCAGGTTTACTTCAAAGAATGTCAATTTCGGAATGGAAGTGGGAAATGATAGTCATGGATTTTGTGGTTGGTCTTCCCAAAACCTTGAGGAAGTTTGATTCTATTTGGGTAGTGGTTAATAGATTGACTAAGTCAGCCCATTTTATTCCCGTAAGAATAGATTACAATGCAAAACAATTGGCTAAAGTTTATGTGAAAGAGATAGTGAGGTTGCATGGGATGCCCCTCTCTATCATCTCAGACCGTGGTACCCAATTCACATCCAAGTTTTGGAGGAAATTACATGATGAATTGGGCACACAACTCACTTTTAGTACAACCTTCCATCCACAGACAGACGGACAGTCAGAGAGGACTATTCAAGTGTTAGAAGACATGTGTGATTGATTTTGGAGGGCATTGGGATAAGTTCTTACCTTTGTGTGAATTCTCTTATAATAATAGTTAGCACTCCAGCATTGACATGGCACTATTTAAGGCACTTTATGAGATGGGATGTAGATCACCCATATATTGGTTCGAGGCTGCAGATGTGAAACCTTTGGGGGTTGATGAAGAAGTATGCAAATCATAAGGTAAGAGACATGACATTTCAAACCGGTGAGAATGTTCTTCTTAAGGTATCACTCATGAAAGGGGTGATAAGATTTGGCAAAAAAGGTAAGCTAAGTCTGCGATACATTGGTCCCTTTGACGTTCTGGAATGTGTAGGACCGGTGGCATATAGATTGACTTTACCTCCTAATTTATTGGGAGTTCATCCAGTATTTCATGTGTCTATATTGAAGAGGTATTATGGTGACGGGGATTATATCATTAAGTGGGACTCAATTGTGTTAGACAAAGACCTCCAATATGAGGAGGAACCGATTACAATTCTTAATCGTGATGTGCGTAAGTTGAGGACCAAGGAGATTAAGTCCGTGAAAGTTCAATGGAAGCATCGTCCAGTTAAGGAAGCTACTTGGGAAATCGAGAGGGACATGCGAGACAAGTATCCCCAATTGTTCGTCGATTCAAGTACTACTTCATCTCTTCTTTAGCCCCTTTTCCCTAAGTTTGTCACTCGGGGACGAGTGATGGGTAAATTTGTATCTATTGTAACGACCGGGTTCCTTTGTTACAAAAAATCCAACGGGGAAAAAATTTGGGTCGTAAAACTTTTTCGTAGTAACTTGGAATTTCCCAATCTAGTCCAGATTTGGATGAAATCAGAGTCATTAAGGTGTAGGGAAATCTGGTAGCAATTGGGTGATCTAATTATGATTTTGATTACATGAGTAGTTAAATAAGTCGCTAAGGAATCCGTACGACTTTACAGAATTGAATTCGGGTGAAAAGAACTCTCGAAATTGATCTTAGCGTGAACGGTATTTTCTGAGCGTCGTTGGTTAAAAGTGTGTTGTGAAATGGGGATCTTGGAATTATTAAAATAGCTCTCTGTTTCGTGCAAGCCGCTTTGGCGGTGGTTTTGGTCGCTCTGGTGGGGCCGCTGTAGTGGGGTGAGGGCCGTTATGGCGGGCTAGACGCGACTTAAAGTAGTAAATAAACCCCAAAAATGTTTTATTCTGCAATTTTTGAATTTGAGAGATAAGGAACGAACCCAGGTCTCTTCTTGACAGTTTTCCACCATTCTTGAGGCTAAAGGTAAGACTTTAACTCCCCGAATCCATTTTTCGATCCGTATAACATAATCTAATGGGTAATTATCGATGAGGGAGGGTTTTGATCTAGAAACTATGGTGAAAAAGCCCTAATTTGGATACTTGGGATCATGGGTATGATATAGGGTTGTTAGAATTGTTAGTAATCTGGGTAATTAGTGATTGTTTATTGATTCCCGTATTATATTGGTTGTTTGTAGACCAAGAACAAGCGGAACAAATTCGAAAAGGGAAGGATCAAGTTTCTTAAGGTTTCAAGCTTGTTTCAAGGTATGTGATGGTTGCGATTCTATTATTGTGTGGTGTATGTTTGTCTTTGCTTTCATTATGATACATGTATGTATGCGAATGTTGCATTATTGATGACACTTATTGTAAATGAGGATATATGACTATGAATGCCACGAATCATGACTTGATCTTATGATTATGAGAATATACTTGTGATTGTGGTTGTGGCTTGTTGAATTGACCGGGTGTTGTGTTTCAACACACTAACTTGGATCGGTTGCCACGTTTTGACATAATTATGGGATCGGTTGCCACGTTCCGGCATAATCATTGGATCGGGTACATTCCGGTATGCTAACTGTTTGGATTTGGGTTCTATGAGAGGACCAATGACTTATCATAATTGTGTATCTTGAGAAATACGAAACTGTATATTCTTCGTAAATGTTGATAATATTGTATATGTTTGATATATGTATGTGATTATATTGTTGTATTGACTTACTTATGTTACACTTAATGGGATAGCCGCGTGATCCTACCAGTACACTGTGGTTGTGTACTGATACTACATTTGTTCTTTCTTTGTTGAGTACAGGGCATCTTCAAACGGCTATTGACAGACCTCACTTAGAAGATCAATAATCTTTCGAATTCAAGGGTGAGCCAGTTCTTCCAGTCATCCAGGCTACCATGAGTTCTCCTTTCGTCTATGTCCACATTCCGGATTTAGACTTTCTAATTAGTTATTAGTTCATTAGTTTGGGGTTGTATCCCTTCTTGTTTAGACTTGTTGAACTTTAGATGTTTTGGTACATTGACTTTCAGGTTCTATGTGTATTTTCCGCATTGTTAGTTGTTAGATCTTTTGGAAGTTTATAGGAACTTCAGTTTTTAGCTATTATTCATGTTTTCGTATCCTTAAATGATTTAGTTTTTGGGTTAGTTGCTTGGTTTGAGTTGCAGTAGTGGTTCTCCCACCGGAGGGTTAGCGTGGGTGCCAATCTTGATGGTCTGGGTCGTGACAGAAATCAGACCTTATAAAGCTAAACCGACATAGGAGCTAGGGGACCACCTTCATGTTCATGCTTATGCAGTCTCACTAAAATCTGAATATCTCTCAATTTTGAAGTCGTATGGACAAATGGTTTAGTGCGTTGGAAAGTAGACTCGTAGACCTTCGATTTAGTATATTAAGGTTCTTCTAAAGTTGTATAAATTTGGGAGAAAAACTCTAAGACATTTAACCCAAATTTCAACAAATTTATCAAAGAAACTTACTCTAACTTTTGCCGAATTTTTATTTCCCAACTTGCTTGACTTCAAAGCTTAACTTACGATCATTGGCCGACTATATCACCTTATAAAACATCCTTCTTAGCATATAAGACACTTTTTGCCTTACCCCAAAGGTACTGGATAACTTGGTCCTTCCGAAGGGGCGGGGTGTTAGAAGAGACATTCTTTAACTCGAACCTGTTTAAGGGCATCCTTTACCCATGCCGTTAGTCTAATTTTTTGATTTTTTTACCTCCCATTTGCAACCTTATTCTCCTGAAATGATATACCAAGTCAAGCCTCATACGCTCATGCAATGATACACATATTATGCGAAAGAACTACGGGTCTCACATAAATAAAATAATTTCTTGTTATAAAATAAGTCTAATAGTAAATGTGATTGATACTTGTTATTTTTTAGTAATTTAACATTCGAAAAACACTTTCTAAAATGAAGACAAATACAATATGCTAATCAAATATTGAGAAAAACATTTTATGAATGAATTACCCTAACACAACTTATTTTTTCTCGAAAATATATTTTTTTTGAAAAATTGTATGTAAAAAGTGCTTATCAAAATAAGCTTTTTTTTATCGCTTTGCCAAACAATGCCCTAACAAAATTTACAATTTAACTAAACTGTTCTTATTTATTATTCAATCACTCAATTTAATATTCTTTTTTCTTTTACCCCGTTAACCTTTTAGTGATACTTGTTATTTTTTATTCAAAAAAGTAAAATAAAAATAAAAATTATTTTATCTTAATTTTTTAAAATGATAAAATATTCTAAATCATTATCTATACGATTAAATTCTTTTCGAAATATAGTAGAAAAAAGTGTTTCAAATTATGCTATTTGAGTCTAATCTATTTTAAAAGTATAGAGATATTTGAATTGTTTGTAGACAACTAACAAAATCAACAAAAATCTCTGAATTTATTTGAATATTGAACCTTCGATTCCGAATTAAATGTCCTTGTATAGCAATCTTTTGTATCGTGGTTGATAATATTAATATTATAATACTCTACTAGTGTTAGCCAGGAATAATTAGCGAACCGTTACATGTAAATTGAATCCTCCTCCGACCCTGGTGCTATTAAGCAGCGCCATTGATGAAGAATTCAGGTATTTGCAAGAAGATTAGGGTTTGATCCGACTGATAATTTAAAAAATGGATGAAGCGAAGGCCTTGGCGCAACAGCAGCAGCTAATGATGCAACAGCAACAACAACAACAGCAGCAGCAGCAGCTACTCTTATTGCAGCAGTTTCAGCGCCAGAAACAGCAACAACAGCAGGATGCTATGGCTCGATTCCCTTCGAACATTGATGTTCATCTCCGTCCTCAGCAGCTCCTTCATCGCCCCCTTACCCCTCTTCAATCACAGAACCCGAATCCAAACCCTAACCCTAGCTCTAGCAATAACCCGTCAAGCCAGATCCCCAATCAACAAAACCCGGGTACTACCCAACAACAACATCAGCAGCAGAAGTTGACACGGGTTGCGCCGGAATCGAACCGGGTGGAGCTCCAGATGGCTTACCACGACGCTTGGCGAGTCTGCCATCCTGACTTTAAGCGACCTTTCACTTCTCTTGAAGACGCTTGCGAAAGGTGCTTTCTTCTGGCCTCTTACGATTAATTTTCGTAGATTAGAAATGACTTTTGAGTAGATGAAAAAGTAGGTTTTGTTTTCAAAGTGAAAAATGATATAGTTATGTTTGGCGTGAATACAAATTGGAGTTGTTGATTTTTTTGGGTAGTTTGGAGTGAAAAACAGCTTTTTTTGGTAGAAAAAAACATGGTTTTACTGCATTTTTGGACATCTATGTTTTTCTGTTCTCAGTGGGATACGCTGGGTATGTTGTTGTAGTATTTTTTTCTTTTCTCGTGTTATTCAAAACGTCTATTTGTACAACTTCTGTATTTTTAGCTGATCTATGGGAAGTTGAAGGCTTCCATATTCATCCTCATGCTTATAAATATTGAGAAAAAAATATTATAGGGGTACAACAAGGCAAAGATGTGAGTTCATATTCCATTTTCATGTACTTGTACCATTTGAACTTTAATATGCAATTAGATATTGGTTCTAAAACAACAGTGCATGCTTCCATCTTTGCTAGAGTCCTTGTTCTTCATATGAACAAATATCCAACTGCGGAGCAGGTATGCTTTTGTTTAGGAATATATTGCAGTTACATTGTAAAGAATTTGTTGTATCTGTATATCCGTTTATGGTTATGTCTTGTTATATTGTAGCAGATGTAATTTATATGTCGTGTATGTTACTATTGGTATGCTCACTATGCTAAATAAGTGATTTGTACTGTTTAGTATGAAGATCCAAGAAGAGTAGCTTCCATTGCTCTTTGAAGTGCCCTAGTATTTTTATTAGTCACAAGTTGAAAAAGGGCATATGTTTTGATCTATTTATGAACCCCCCAAAAAAGAGATAATAATGTGAGAAGTTGGAGCCCGTGGTTCCAAAAAAATAATCACGACTCACTCCCAGATTAGTTATTGGCTATATCAATCCCTACATTAATATTCAGAGGATTCATTATAGTTAGACTATGAGCCTGTTTGGATTGACTTAAAAAAAGTAGCTTTTAAGTTAAAAATACAAAGTCAAACTTAAATGACTTTTAAGTCCAAAAAATAAAAAGAAGGGGAGGCCTACTTTTGGTTTTTAAGTTATTTTTAACCTTGCCAAACACTTCCTAACTTATTTTAAGTCATTTTTGACTTATTTTAAGTTTTTTTTTTATAATTGCCAAACACTTCTAGAAGTCAAAAACTGCCTTAAAAGTAGGTTTGACTAACCAATCCAAACACCCTCTATGTCACCTCATCAAGTGGAGTATGGCACTTGACAAACCTGCCTGTTGGCTGTGTTCATTTGTGGTATTTTTAACAAGGTCAAGTGATTTTTTAAAAATGGAATTGTTTTTTTTGTTGCATTTTTGGTGTAAAGAGGCCCTTTGCGGAAGATGTAGATTCTGCAATTGACATTATTGGGTCACTGTAACCTGTCCAGGAATAGGCTTCTTTATCTTTTGGGGGTTCCTGTGACTATGTTTCACTTAGCATAGTCTTTGTGCTGAGGGGTACTCTTTTTATATAAAATATATTACTTCTTCCGGGAAAAAAAATCATCAACTAGAGTCATTGAGAACGACGAGAAGAACCCTTTAAATACTCCTAAATATTCACTATGTAGCAGAAGAATCTCTGAACTCCCTTTGATGAATGTATAATATACAACATCTTTGCACCTATTTATAGTAGTTTCAAGCTTTAATTGGCATAAAAGGATGTATTTAACATACTTTCGTGTAGTGCTCTTTTTCTTTGTTCATGAGCTGTCCAGATGAAATATAAATAGGTCAATTATTTCTTACTTCTATACAAGCCATGGAAATACACAAGTTTTTGTCACTTCTTAAAAGTATGTAAATTGCTTGAAAGCCTGTTTTTAACTTTGAACATTCTCAGCTGTGTTTCTCTTCATACATGATGTAATTGCAATAATGAAGCAGAGCTCTTACTCTTCTTTTTGTTATTCTATCCTCCGTTCTCTATCTCCTTCTTTTAGGGGAGATAGTGTAGACAACTGTTTAAAAGGACTCTTTTATTTGATGGAACGATGGGCTTCAAGGGTTTTGACAAAGGTTGAGGGACTTATGACTTAGGTCACCAATATGAGTCTTGTGCTATGCGAACTAAGCCTAGTATTTAAGTGGAAAAGGGAGGTGGTGGCCATTACCCCTGAGTTTGGAAGGCTGCAGTTGGTCCTAAGGGTTGGTTCAAACGGATTTCACGGTCATAAAAATAAAGATTTGACAGAAAGATGTCTTAATTTTTTTATAATTTGAATTTTTAGTGTTTCAGTGTTGTTTTTTTCCTTTTCAATATAAGTTCACGATAGAATGGTTTGTCTAATGCTTGCCATTCACAGCTTTATCTCCCAATGATAAACATTGCAATGACTCAACAATGATTATTGAATCAAAGAACACCGACTCCTCTTTTTCTTGTTAGCAAGTCTAGTTATATTTTTGTGAAAGGTAAAAGTATATTAATCATCAGCACAACCTTTGTGCGGGAGACATATTTATTAATTGCAACAACAAAAGTGTGGCCTTTTCCTTCTTACAGGCTTGTAAGAATTTTAATAGAGTTTCAGCTTCCTCTATTTTTTTATTTTTTATTTTTTATTTTATGACAAGGGAACCACATAGGAGAGGTAACCCGCACTAGGCAAGCCCGGTGCGACGAGCTCGACCCAGAAGGCAAACCCCTTGCTTTCGTTGGCAAGGGGTTTCGAACTTGAGACCTCCAACATGGAAGTCTCAAGCCCAAACCACTGGGCCACCCCAAAGGGTCCTCTATATGGTTTTCTTTACACTAAAAATGAAGTAACAATACACAATTAGAAAGTCTAGTATTTCTAGCTGAGACGTACACTTCTGAGGCGTGGTATCATGAAAAAGGAACTCCAAAGTCCGAACTTTTGTTTCATGAGAGATGGTTTTGTGACTTATAAAAAGAACATCTGCATATAGTTCCATTTTCTTGGCTCCAGTTCATAGAAGTTGGCAGGGCCATGAGAATCTCTCTCTATAGCCAGCTTTATTGGTTGCCAAAAGCTACTCTTGACTGACTAGATCCCATGTTGCACATTGTAGTATAAATGTATATTCTGTTGATGTTTATACTTTATACCATTCTTTTTATTTTGCTGGAATTAGTATGTGGGTACCTATCAGAAAAGTTAATATAGAAGGCAGCTCGCCGATGGTATCAACTTCAGACTTTTTCCTTGTGTCATTTTTTTTAGGCTTTTGCCTTACCATGTGGTGGCAGACTATGAAGCAGAGGAGGATGATAAGATCCTTGATTCAGACACTAGTGGCCAAATGCTTTCTCGTTCACAGCAGTGGGATCACAACATTGCTGTGAAAGTTGCAGAGTTTACTGCAACATTTGAGAAACAAGTGCTTGCGTTTAATATAATTTCCCACAAGAGAGATGTTGGAGAATTCCGGACTGAGGAGAAACTCATGTTAGAGCAGTCACTGTTGCAAGAAGAGAGGAGAATCGTGCTTGAACTGAAAACAGAGATGGAGGCCAGGCAAAAGATGGGTCGAGAGACTCATGATCCTAATTTGCAAATGGCAGCTCTTGTTCATGCAGAACAAGCCCGTGCTGAATCACAAGCTCGTGCTGAGATGATGAACCGAGCGCCAATACGAGCCAGTGCACTTGGGCCTAGGGGGAGCAATATTCAAATGGGTAATGATGTTGGTGAGCACGGACAGGAAGTTAGCCCTGATGAAATGATCAATGGTTGGGGCAACAATGGACATAAAGACGAAAAGGAACCATCGGAGGACTTTTTGAATGATGAAGAAACTGATAATGGAGATGTAGGTACTCAGAGTGAGTGGCGTGGAGGTGGGGAGTTGGATCTGAACACAAGATGAATCATATAAGACCTATCAGTGTTTGGCATTTTCCATGTGAAAAGTGAATATTTGTGTCAAAGTTTAGCCCACCATATACTTTGGTACATTCTGTTACTGATTCTACACTTGAAAGTTGGTAGAAGCTCACCTATTAAGATTAGGACGACTGAAGATAGTTTTATTGTGCGTACACTGGAAATGAGTTGCGTCTTTCTGTGATCTACAGGAAAAATGATATCACTCCTGATATCCAGTTATGCCAAAGCTGCATTTCTGGTGAAAATGGCATGCCAATGCCGTATCTGGTCATATCAGTTACGAAGACTCTGTTCTACTGTAAAGATTTGGCACATCCGATGAAGAACCCGCATGCTTCCCCCCCTTCCTTGACAGTCATTACTTTGTCAATAACGTAATTAACCAGTTTGACATCCGTGGTGCAAAGAATGATTTGACCTGCATGGAGTTTTCTTTTTTTTAGAATCTAAGTGAATGAAACACATCTTTTTTTGGAGTGGGTCGTTGGTGTTTGTCTCTTTCTTCTTTATGGAAATTGAACCACTGTTTCTTTTTTATCCGTACACCTGCACAGACAAAAGCTCTTTTTGCAGATTCTTTTGTATAATTACCTGAATTGTTGTTTTGCTGTTCAGCCAGTGAAATAGTCATGTCCCTGAAAACACGGTTTACTATTCAAGAACACAAGCTTAAAAGATGAATGAATATGAGCAGCAAGGAAACATTCCTCTCCATGTCTCTTGACAACAGCTTCATGGGTTTCAGCAGTGCAATGTCTTTCTGCCCGGAGCTGCAGCTCTAGCTGGCTGTTCTCTGGTTGTAGCCATCTGCAGATTCTCTCTCCACTATATATTACTTGACCATGAAGTGAATTATCATGACGTATCATTGATTGTGTAATCAAGTAGATAGGATGGAGAATTATGTACGACTCTAATCAATCTGGCTTTTGGGTTGGATGGAGAACCATTATTTTGTTAGATTAATTGATTTTCTACGCTACAATAACCTAAACCTGCCAAGTAGTGAAACTGTTTTTTCGCGTTTCATTCACCATAGTATGCCTTGCAGTGTATACAATATGCAAGGAAACTAATTTGCATCCATTCCACTTTTTGTTCTCTAAAATGACCAAATTGGAAGTGTTGAAGAACATAACTTCAGATTGCATTTTTTTTGAGGTCACTTTGTCCGTCACTCATCTTGTTAATTCAAGTTCAGGTGGAATCGGAAGCATCAATCAGAGTTAAAACTGTAAAAGTTCAACTTGCTCATTGCATCTGAATTCACGTACTTGAGCCACAATTTCCTTTGCGTAATTTCTCTTTCACAAGAAGTTTCATGTTCACACCATGTCCTTTTCTTTTTACATCTACGAAATGCCATTACCCCAATTCAATGGAATACTAGTTGTAATCAGAAAACACAAGCTAACAGACGCACTATCACAACAGGAAAATCTTTCTATTTTCATCGTTCTCGTGTATAACAATTATGCAGTATGCAATAAGCAGGTAAGTTCAATATAAATCTTCTCTAATTTTCCTTTACTTTCTGCATGTAAAAAGTTAGCTCACAGAAAGCAACATAAATGACCACACAGTTGTATATGATGGAAGTTAGCTCTGAGACAGCCTCCACGACCCATTGAAAATCTTGATCAATCAATATTGCTTAGAATAGTTGCATCAGCCTCGGCCATTGAACACTGCAATGACATACTGGCCTTACTCATCAATTTAATTTCATAGCTGCAAATGTTGCTGCAACATCCATTGCCTCGTCAACTTTTGATATATCAGTTGCCTGAAAGGAAAGAAATTTAACCATCATGAATAGAATAGTAACAAGCAACGTATAAGCAACGCAAGCCATTAAGGCAAAAGATGAATGTCAAGTTTGACAAAAAACTTGAGATGTATGCAACGCAACCATCACAAGTAGTAACATATCAGTTGTTAAATGAAACCTGCTTTGTGCAGTGTGCATGAAGTTAAGCAGAGTATGAAGATAAGTCAAAATTGAGTACAAACCTGGCCTTGGGAGAGACCACCTTTTCCACCTCCACCCTTACCTCCTAAGGGCTTCAAAGCTGCATTCAACCAATCTTTAACATTCAACTGCTGGCACTTGTCACCTTTCTCAGGTACACCAGCACAGACCAAAACTTTGTTTGCAGCTTCATCTTTGCTGAATACCAGAACTGCCATACCCTGTTCAGACAATTAAACAGTCAGTGACTTTTATAAAAATTACAAATTTTAGAGGAGAATACGAGCACTAGTTTAGCAGGTATGAGCAAATAACCTTCTGCTCCATGACTTTGACAACTGCTTCACGGACTGCAGCAGTGTCCAAACCCACGCCAATCTGCAAGATGCAGTATGCTTTTCCACCATCAGCTGCAGCTTCAGCCATTTCTGAGGCAGCTTTAACGGCTTTTTGTATATTCTCTGCAGCTATCTTCTTTTTGGCCTTTATAACTTGATTCTGAAGAAATCATCAGCATATTAGTTTTCTTTCCTAAGCAATTTCCTTCAACTTCGGCCACAACAGAAACAATACATACCTGGAGGACTGAGAGCTTGGCCTTGAGATCAGTTTTCATAACAGTGGGAATTTGTGCCCTCTCCACGGTAGCATTCAAAGAAGTTACTTTCTGAAATTAAGAAGTTGATGTATGAATTCATCAGATAAGGACACAATAGTAGCAGTAAGAAAAGGATCAGCCAAGATTGAAAGAGCCTTGGATCAAGTTGATTGACCAAGATTAAAGAACAAAACGATGCTTGGCTGGAATAGATTAGCAAGAAACTATCCAGCTCCACCACATCCTAACAAGGAAGATACAGCGCAGGGGAGAAATTAAAAGAAATATATGACTGGAATAAAGTAAATCTTACCAACAGCTTGCCACATTAAGTTCTATACATCAGTGTTCAATGAAACAAAGAAGACATGCAGTTCTATAACTAGATTTCTTTTAGTTCGATATGAGTGGTTAATTAAAGAAGATACATAACTATGTCGCATAACTGCTGAATGAATGAATCATTTAATAGGGAGAACAATAAGCAGTCCAGTTCCATGACAGCCCAAGCAGGAAGTTACAGTGCAGGGGATCAAATTTAAGAAGTAAATGACAGAATAAAAGATTGTGGAAGGAAGTGTTCTACATAAATATTGAGGCTCATGATATTGTCTTCTACTTAATATTTGATGATGATTCAATGTATTCGTAGATTTTCTAAAATTTAATTTTGTATTGTTAGACATATATGTGTATTGTTCTTTAGAGCATTTCTCAATTCATTCAAGTATATGTAATTAATTGGGTCTCAACAGTGGCGGAGCCAGGATTTTCAGTAAGGGGGTTCAAAATCTAAAAAAATAGACACACGAAGTAGCCGAAGGGGGTTCGACATCTACTATATATACCTAAAAAATTATTTTAACCATGTATAAATCATATAATTTTCCGCCGAAGGGGGGTCGGATGACCACCCTCATTGTAAGGTGGCTCCGCCACTGGGTCTCAAGCTGGTATCAGATTTGGGATGAAAAAACAAAACTAAAAAAATTGGATACATTAATGAGGTTTAATTGTTGCTTATGTCAATTTTTATGGTCAGGATTTTGTAGGAAAGTCGGAGACTGGTCTTGATGGGTCTGTCAATTCGATGGTCTGACTCTGGTAAATTTGGAGTAAGTTTCTTTCATTGTTTCTTTTGTGAATTTTTCTAAGTAATTATCAGGTGTCAGTGTTAATGTGATAACTTTTCATGTATGTATTCTTGTTTGTTATGGGCCCAAAATATATACTTGCTAATGTTGTAGTTAGGTAAGTACCCCGAAGTCTCGAGTTTGAGCTTGAGAGCTCGAATCTGAACAAGTTGGCCATTATGTTGATACTCAACATCGGATAAAAGGTAGAAAAGCCAAAAAAAACCCAAAATATATTTGTGAGTTCCCTGTGAGTTATATATTTGGAAATCAATTCTCTCCTCACCTGGGCTCTATTCCCCCTTCTTCTAATTCTCTGAAAATGCTCTCCTCTCTATAATCATACCTTTGTTTCTCTAGCTCTGTTCATTCCTCTAAGATTTCCCCTCTCAATCCTTTTATCTTCTCAATCTATGCTTCAACTATTGGCAATGGATGCAGAATAACTCATGGCAGATGCAACTGTTTGGTATATCTACTTTGGTCTATCCTTAATAAATAGAATCAGTTAATTTCTGCATTTGTTCGTTAAATTGCACTGGATATTTACTTACCTACTCGATAGGTTTCAATTTGTTTGTATTAGTTTAATTTGGAACCAATTTTTAGAAAATAAAAAACTTGTAGTCTTAAACTTTGGAGATAAGTAATGTACCAAATGTCATTTAATCCTATGATCTTAAACATGTCATATGAGATATTGAAATTAAAGAGTTAAAAATTAGAAGAAAAAAAATTCTTTTTTAAACTGACTAAAATAATTAGTGGAGATATACTATCAATTTGACATTCAACAAAATTACTAATATAATTACTATTAGGTGCTACAATACTACTTGAGAAAATCCTGTTTGAAAGAATTATCTTCAATAAAGCTGGACATATATGTATTTATAAATTCATCCAAATATATGCCTTAACAAGAGAATGAGGATATACCCTCAAATAGTCATTGAACAATATCACTAATATAATTACTATAAAGTGCTACTGTACTACTTGAGAAGTATATATATCTTTTCAAATCCCTTAAGAGTAAGAAACTGATATAAACAAAAACTCAATTTTGGTTGGATTTTATCTTTGGAGTAGTTGTGTTTCTTACTAACATATAAGTATTCCTGCTTTGAGATAGATTATAGTTAACAAAATCGAGTTATTAGAGCCAGCACAAGGCAATTTCTTTCAAATTAGATGAGTTAACAGCAAACAAGAAATAATTGGACTTGTCGAGATAACGAGCTTTTGGACAAATTTACTTGATGGAAATTGGTAATTAGTTCATATTTGTATTAGTGGATGAAATGATATAATAAGGAAAAAAGTGTATAAATTAAAAAAAGGTAAGTTATACACATAATAGAATTTTTGACATATCTTAGAAATGTATAGGACTTCTTTTATTGAAAAGTCAAATGATCATTTTTAATATCCATGTAGGATATGAGTTGTACAACTAACATGATCATCTTCTTTTGTTATTTTTGACATATTAGCATTTATAAGTTAGAGGAGCTTGCATAATTTAAGTAACTCTTCTGTATTGCTAATTATACATTCTTAGTTAGAAATATTTAAATGTGAGATGAAAATAGATGGAAGAGATTAAATAATAACATTCAAGTTGATTGGAGGCGAAGAAGAAGAAGAAAAGGAAATGTAGAATGTGCTACGCATTACAAATTTGTAAACATTACCGTCATTGAGTCGTGAAAATTATCATATTTGATCCAGAAATTCAGGGTCAGAGAAGGCAGTGTCTTTCATATATACTTATATCATTGTTATTTAATTCTAAAACGTAAATATTATATATGTAATTAATAAAATATATATTGTTGGTATATATATCTTGTTGGTGTGACATTTTAATATTAATAAAAATATATTATATGTCACATTATGTATCATGTTATGTCCATTGGTGGACATTACATTTGTGCCTCTTTACTCTCATCAATTGTAGAAGAAAGTAGTCATTAGTTGTTTGTAACTTATGTAACCACCAACTCTTTATGTCACTCATTATTCTATCTTTATGTCTTGTAACATTTGGATCAATCATTTGGCAAATTTACTACCCACAATCTTCATATTTATTGCAAGGAAGAATTCATCACCTATAAATAGTGTGGTTTTCCTTTGTGTTGAGAAGAAGAAACAACAAGAGATGTACAAGAAGAGATAGAGTGAAAAAAATGAGTGGTATTATATTGAGGTTAGTGTAGTAAAGGAGAGAGTTGAGACATAGAAAATATTATAAGTCTTCAACTATATTCACTATACAAAAGAGAATATTTATATGTTGAAGAAGGTGTTCTTTTTGTGGAGTTTTGAACTCTTCAACTAATCTGGAGTTGCTTGAGTTGTACACGTTGTTGGGATGTTGTATCCCGGAGGGGACAAGTCAAGAGATATATTGCTGGATCGGTGTAGATTATGCCGCAATGAGCTTGAATCTCCTTAAAGAGAGCGAGATATCCGCGCCTCAACCTAAAGATTTTTTCATTTTTGTCATTTTATTTTCAACTGTAATATTTTATATTTGTGGTATATTACACCAACTTTTATTTATATATATATATATATATATATATATATATATATATATTATAATTTCAATTATTCAATTTTATTTTTCTAAATTCAAAACCAAACAAAGACAATCCTTAATCTAAATCAAATCAAAAAACTAATCCAAATAAAAATTCAATTTGATTTAAATTTCGATTTAAGTGCACATCTCTACGTGCTACTAGTACTTGTTTGGACATTGTTGCAATAGAGTATATGTTTCGCACTATATCTATATTATTTTGTGAACATAATTTTGAACCAACTATTATGGGAAAAATAGCTCAAATAACACTTAAACTATGACCGAATTTGTAACAACACTCATTTTTTGATGTGACACAAGCCAAAACTCTAACTATAAAATAATACAGTAATTAACAAAATTAAAGTTCAAGAGATATACCACATCAATCTAAAAAATAATTACTATCCTCTTCTTTTAACTATAATTGTATCACGTTCGACTTTATTCATATGTATTAAAAGCTTAAATATATACTTAAGAGCATAATTTACTTTATACCAAGTGAGTAGTGTATATTCAAGACAAAAGGTTGAACATTACAACTGTGATACAAGAAAGAACATTACAAAGATGCAACAGATCCAAGAATCCTCCACCTGAGGGGACATCATGGATCAAAGCACTCCACTAGATGAAGCCAACTTTAGATCAACAAAATTAAGGAGTACAAGTATTGTGCTGGTTACATGCTTATTAATTATACTTGAAACAGATTTATGTATCCCATAGCTTATGTATTTACTGAGTAATACCTTGAACGTGGACTTCGAAGTAGGTGAACAAATTATTGTCTTTTCAAATACTTAACTGAGTCATATATATTTTATCTGAATTAATTATATAGTTATAAGTTATTATTTTGAACATTCATGTGTGTAGGTTATAAATCCACCAGAAAATCATTCGAGGAATATGTCCATCAATATCCTGCATGTACCAAGGTGGATATACACTTTACTTATTTCATTTATGATGTCAAATAATTACTATAAAAAGAATAGTAGATAACGCTAAACAGTATCTAACAAGATAATTTATTGCTAAATTAAATTAGCAACAAATCTATATTGTTGGCATAATTTCATTGTTAATGTTTTTTTTATTATTTATTATAAACTCATATTCATTTAATTGACAGACCTATAATTAATCAACCATCTCAACTCAATTTTGCTCAAAGCCAAAATTTATCTACAGAGGTATGTTTTTTTTTCTTTTTTCGTAACACTATTTCTTTTATTATTTATACATTTATTTTAAATGATTGTCTTGCTTGAGTGATGCTCTTAATTATGAATTTGATTTTTCTTATTTATTTAAATTTAATTAGATTAAAACTTTAACGTATATCAATTTAAATTTTTTGGTATATA